TGGTTAGATCATAGAGTAACTTATTATAGGGGTAATAGAGTCATCAGCTTTATCGCCGATCAGCGCCATCTGGTGAAATCAGAAGAAATTACCATTTTTCTATATCCATAACTACACTACCTATACGTGCCTGTATAAACTTGTTTCTATGATTTAATTTTTATTTTAATGTTTTAAACTAAAATAGGCATAAATAAAACAACATATATAAATACTTTAATATTTATTTACATTTAATATAAATTATAAAACAGGTACATTTTTAAAAAGACGGGAATTTTTACAAGTTTATTTATGTAATCAACAACTTACGTACTATAATATCAGGTACCTAAGTTTTTTTGGTAAAGGTAAATAACTTTAACTCCGGCGTAATTCAAATCAAATAAATTTTAAACGATAGAGATAAATCTCTAATGAATTAATCAACAAGCAGAATTCGGCGGTCGCTTATAGTTTTCGAGAAAAAAAATATTTAAAACTTGTTTTTTGTCTTAAGAAATCCACCATTTTATTTGTTTGACTTCAAAAACTCAATAAACAGTTCTGCCAACAGATAAATATAGGAAGCGGGCGACATCATACACGTATCGATATTCCGATTTTTTTTTAATTTAATGAGTCACAGAACCCACGCAGAGCGAATCCGACTCGGATAGATTAGGTTACTTTTTAAAATACTCACATTTTTATATCATCGGCGGGTAGAGGACACTCACACTCTTCCAGAAATGGTGCAAACGTTCTCCAGGTTCGGGGAAAATTTTACGAAATCGTGCCTCAACCAGATAACCAATGAAGTCCACATTTAAAACATTTAACAGTATTTACAAGAACTCCATGACGACACAAAAAATTAAAAAGGACTAAACGATATGATTCTGATTTGAATAAAATTTTATAAAAAGAATAAAAACTTAAATTACAATATGTACATAAAATATCACTACTACTAGTAGACGCACAAATATTATCCGTCATTGCAAATACGAATAACCACTATTCTATTGTTTTTAAATAATGAGCGGGAAATACTTCCGGTTTAAATTTAACATACGATTAGGCACCGAAAAAATTATATACAGCCAATATACTAATATCGATTTTGAAACTCGATTACAAATTTTATTAAATCTTGGTTAAAAGCCCTTAACTTATTAAAAACTAAATATAAATGTATTATAAACTAAATATAATAATGAAATTACATTTTTTATATTTATTATTGATAATTAGTGAAATTAGGGATAGATTAGGTTACTTTTCTACATATTTTAATGAAGTGAAACTTCTTTATCGGGGTGGAAAAAAATTTAGTGTAACATTTTTCCGTTACGCGCCATCTTTTTCTTATCTTAAAATGTTCCTCTAACGCCATCTAGTGTTGAATAGGGGGTTTTATGTAGTCTTTATTCTTTAGTGGTTTTAATAGTTGACGCTAGATGGCGTTAGTTCCTTTGCGTGTTCATAGCAATATATATATATGTTATATTAAAGTGATCAGCAAAATCAAAGGGTTTATTTTAATTCTAATTCTAAAATGTAAACAATATATTTCAGTTACCATAAGCCATTAATAACACAAATATATAATAACAACATCAATGATAGTAATAATTCTATTACAATTAATGAAATTCAATAATAATCTTTGTAGTAATGACAGTGCTAGCTCTAATACTTCAGAGCACGACACTGTGTCGACTTCCTCTTCTCCAAAGGCAGGCACCGCCCACCGTGACCTGACTGCGCCTTCCACCGAAGACACAATCTGGAGCTGACCGATGATGCTCTTCGAAACCTCGATCGGCTCCTGGAACTTGCGGTTGCGACGTCGATCCAACGTCCGCAAGTTCGGTTTTCCAAAAAAACTTCACTCACAACACTCGCGCGCGAGTCGAATGTCTGCCTTCTACTCACTGGCCGACTATTCGGCAACGAAGGACCATGTACAAATTCAAAGCGGTTGTATTTTGGGTCCGTGAGGTAAATTGAAATAAGGTTCACGTTGCAAGTTTTTTAATAAACAATTTTTGCGGACCCTCATACTAATTACAACGGTCAAACCATAGTGTGTTTTAATTTATTACTAACGCCACCTATGTATTACAAATAACAAACTAAATATTATACAAAGCTAAAATGAAATAATTGTAGAATTTGTATTTATGTCTATGATAATAAAAGCCTTTTATTAAACTTTATCTAATTTAACTTTATTTAACCAATTTCTGTAAAGTTGCATATAGTAAATTATTTTTTGAATTATTTTTTGAAAAATAACGTCATAAAAAAGTTTCACTTACGAGTGTACGCTAGTACACGCACACATTTTTTTATTTTTATTTATTTTCATTACAAAGCTTTTAAAATCTTCATCTTATCTTATTTGTTGTTTTATGTAAAAAATAATAAATATTCAAAATTAATTACTTCTTTATAAAGTTTGACTCTTCCACGTGCTTCGCCAGAACACTTGCTATGTCTCACCTGAGTGTCGCTTCACCCTCCGACGCGAGGTTCTGGCTCCGCCTTATTATGTTCACTCTAGGGGTAGGGACCACAAAACCACATGGAGTCGGGGTGCTCTGTGTCGGATCTGGGACTCATTTTGAATCTTATCTAATCGGAAAAGGGTCCGTGATAAATTAAAAAAGATGCAACCATAAACCTAACCAATTAGTAAATAAATGTTAAACCTAATTTAGCTCATTTCACAGTAATTTAAATTGTAAAAAAATGTAATCGATTTATAATCGATATAAAATTTATATTTGCCAATACCAAATATATTTTAAATATATTTGGTATTGGCGCCTAATATTTAAGAGTTTTCTTGGATTATAACTTAAACTATATTTGATTATTAACATTTCTCTATCGATTAAAATTTTTTTCGAGTTGGAAAATGAGACATTGATTGAAATATTTAGGAAAAAAAAATTAATGGAATAATCGCTAGGACATGACGTCGCCCGCTTCCTATATTCATCATGTTGGCAGAACTGTGTATTAATTACGTTGGCGAATGGCGGACTTTGTTAGTGAAAATAACAAGTTTTAAATATTTATTTCTCGAAAACTATAAGCGACCGCCGAATTCTGCTTGTTGATTAATTCATTAGTGATCCCTCTCTATCGTTTAAAATTTATTTCAATTGAATTACGCCGGAGTTAAAGTTATTTACATTTACCAAAACGGTAAAGAGAAAAAAAGCAAAATACCACAATCACATTCGCGTCACGTAACGTAAACGGAAGGAATTAACAGTTAGCTAGGGATGCCGAAAATCGATATATCGATATTTTTTTTTAAATATATCGATATTTTGGCCGATATATAAATTCTATATTTATTCTTCAAAAAAGAGTTGTCCGAGCAATCTAGAACATTGGAGCCCGAAATACACTCGGAGATCTTTTTAAAGAGATTAATATACTCACTGTTGCGTGTCAATATATTTATTGTAATATTTTGTATGTTAAACATAATGTTAATAATTATCTAAAGAATAGTGACAGACTTAAACTAAATACTAGAAATAAGGACAAACTAACTACGCCATTGTTTCGTCTACAAAAAGTAAACAGGTCGTTCATGGGGCAAAGTGTGCGCATGTATAATAAAATCACACCACATCGACCACAGTCGATATTAAGTCTGTCACTTGATGAATTTAAACAAAAAGTTAATTTTAGATAGATTTAATCTTGTAAATATTAGATCAATAAAGATTGTTTGTTATCTTATAAAAAAATAATCTACATATTATGATAATTTATAAATAGCATGCAAACTATTAAAGGCATCAACTATAGTTACTTTAATTTAATATGTAAATAAAGTTAACAAAAATTTAATTATAATCAAATTCTCAATAATTAAATGTCACATAATGTAATATCGAGTTTTCATAAAAAGTTTTATGATGTCATAAAAATTATTATCATTAACACCACATAAGTAACTTTATTAAATTGTCGTTCAGCATTTTTATGTCAATCAAACAACTATTACTAAATTCTGTTGATATAGGTCTGTCTTTTAGGACAAGTCTCTGCGGGTTTCTTTTTGACACATTATTAACTTCGTTTTAAACAATTCTTTGTATTTTTTAAAAAACTTTGTAACATGTTTTTCAATTAGTTATTTTGTGATTTGATTCAGGGCTAAAGAAACTAATTTATCTTATTAAATTAGCTGTTTATTTTTTTAAATTAATGAATAATTAACGTTTTATTAAAATTTCTCATTCATTTAAATAATGTGAATTTGGTTTAAAGACTACTATACTACTCATTATTGAATCAGACTGAACTAAGTACATTGTTTTTTAAAAATTAAAATTTGTCCGATATATCGATATATCGACATTTTTTTTTCGATATATGATATAATTATAATATATTGATATTTTAATAAGTATCGATATTTTTTTTCGACTTTCGGCATCCCTACAGTTAGCCATGATGCTGCCGCTATGTCAACATACGTTCCGTTCCTCCCAGTTTCTGCATATAGATGAGTTTACTATGTATACTTTACTATGTACTGTGGAAATAAAAGTTTTAAAAAATTTAAATTACCAAAAAATAATTAAATTTGCGATACAATGTGTTCTGTAAATTCAGTTTATCTATTATTTTTAAGTTTTGAAAATAATACTGAAATAAAGAATTGCGTCAAACGTGTCGCAAATTGTCGCTAACGCCATCTTGCGATATAGGAAACTACCAAAGACAGCTAATCGGCCTCCATAGAAAACGTCAAAGTAGTCTGTGGTCAAAGTATAGAAGTGAAAAGACCCTGGGTTAGATTTTGTGATTACTGATTAATGTAATTTGTTTTTTTTAAATAAAAGTAGTATTTACAATCAATATATTAAAAACAGACTTTATAAAATATTCATAAAGGAATTTTTGTGTTCCTTTGAATTCTTATAACAATGGAAACTATTTTAGAACAGCAAAGAAGTTACCATGAGGAACGAGAGCGTACGATGGACGCTATGGTTAAAGAAATTTTGCATAAGAAAGCAGGAGTGAGTAAATAATATATTTTATTCATAAAAGTAAATTGTAAGTCTCGTCAATGTAATCCACCTTAGATTTATGTACTAAACACTTGTTTTAAGAGAGAAAACAGTTCCTGAAAGAGATGAGGATATGATTTGCCTCTGTTCCAGCTTCTTCAAATCATAATAATGTGTAGCAAATCTAGAAATGATCCCCGACTCAACCGGTAAATCGAGCTGGCTCGACTCGTCCAATAATCACCGATCATTGTATTGGGGTCGCTTTCATTACGATTATTTACAACTGTTTTGATTTTTCGCAAAAAGATTTTTATTACTCTTACGTATTATTACAATTTTCTCGACACACATGATGCTATTGTAAATAAGGATAATGATTGTCATAATAAATTGTGCAATAGTTTCATAGAAAAAGGTTTTATTTAGAACTAGCTGCTTACTTTTTTTTTATTAAAACCTTCCGTGGACTTTAAGGAAAATTCAAAAAATAAATTAGCCGATTTGGTCCAGCCATTCTTGAGTTATGCACTGAGCAACATTAATTTTTATTTATCAAGATAATTGTTTTTTTTTTTAATATTTTGTAAATGTTGTTAAAAACAATCAAAAAGTGAAAAGTAAGTAATCACCCATTATATTCTAAAAGTAGATTTTACTGACCTGACCTAGATACTAGATTGGTCAAGTCGAAATCAAATGGCACAATTGTGTTGTTAGTTTTGCACTCTGACTTGTATATTAAGCACACTTGCTCTTCTCAATGTAGAGTTGAGTTCATTAATTGAAGTTGCTACAAACTTAGGCTATAGCAAGAGCCCGAGATAAAGCCAACAAGATCTAGAACTGAGTCAGCTTGACTTTTAAGAAAGGTGGTTCAACTTATCGAGATTGAGTTAATCTAGCTTCACAAGTTGGCACTCATCAGTTATAATATTCTATTAGTATTATTAGGCAAAATTCTAGATGAAAAGGACCTGGATACCTTTCTCTATAGATTATATTTATGAGTGAAAAAGTAATGATTAGAATATTTATGATTAAACTAAATTTATGATTTCTTTTGACATTTCAGCATAGAGAAAGCATTAATGGAGAGCATAGATTAAAGAATTTACATGATGTGGGTAACTTGTATTGATTATTTATTTATTTTTTTTTATATTTTCTCACTTTATTATAATGAGAAATTGAGAATTTATGCAATTATGTTGTATTTCAGAGATATGTGGAATCTACAATAAGGCTCAAAGAATTGTATGAAGATAAAGATGGTTTACGTAAGGAGGAAATTGCTGCTCTGTCTGGTCCTAATGAATTTCAAGAGTTTTATGCTAGATTAAAACAAATAAAGGAATTTCACAGAAAACATCCAAATGAAGTATGCTTACCATTTTAAAAGTACTTCATTTTTTAAGTCTAACAAAGTAAAGTATATGGATCAATTTAAAATTGGAACAAAGATTAATTGGATCATTAGCCGTGGATGTTGTAACACAACATGAATGCCTTAGCACTCCACTTCAGATAAAACACTGAAGCTTTCCACTTCATCATAATTCTCAGATGTTGTGGTACTTTCCTGGACATGTCTGTCTATTTGTTCAACAGCAAAGACTGCTGCATGGCCCTATCACACTAATGGTGGGATGATAGCTTAATCAAATTAATAAACCAGTTTAGATTTTTGTTAAGATGTTTGTTGGGCTTACTTTAATTATTTTTTGACTGTTTTTTTTTTAATTCAATCAATTGTATAATGGAGAAAAAAAAAACACTTAAGGTGTTAATTATGTTTGTTACTTATTTTGAAATTTTGTGTTTATTAAACCTATCAAAACTATGATTTAATTAAATTTCTTTCATAATTCTTGTCAACAATTTATTAGTCTATTTTGTGTGTTTGTTGTTATTTGTTATTATTATTTTTTGTCATTACTTTTTTTTCAGATTTGCGTGCCTATGTCTGTCGAATTTGAAGAGTTGGCAAAGATAAGAGAAAATCCTTCAGAAGATTATACAAGTATGTGTAGACTGCAAATTGTTTTTTGAAAAAGCATACCTTATATTGCTTATCAGTTGTAATGTTATTGCTTATCAGTTATGACTATAATATGGTTAATGAATAATATAAGAATATGGCAACCTTTTAAATTGTTATTTTGCTTTCAAACTACCACTACACCAAGTTTTGGGTTTGATCTGCACTCATGTAGTTGCCCCACAAATTTGGCAATAAATAGCATGGTTTCATACATGAATGAACTTTGTATCTATACATGTATATAAATATTATATGTTAGTAAAATTACCTTCAACACTGATTGTACACTAGTAATAAATCAATAATCTCAAGCATGAATTAATTATGGCATTAGTATGTTAAAACCTCAGTTCGACTCTTAACTATGAAAGTTGCAAACATCAAGACATAAAAATGCAACACAAAATTATTTTGTAACATAGCTAATATTTACACAAAGAAAATTTTCTCTCTATTAGAACTAGTTTTATGTATCATTAACATTTATTGTTACTTCCATTTTATTTGTTCTTTTAGCCCCAGTTGAATTCACAGATGAAGAAGGTTATGGCAAATATTTAGACTTACATGAATGTTATGAAAAATATATCAATTTGAAGGGTATTGAGGTAAGTAAAAATTTACATATATTATGTACTTTTTGTGTAATGTATGTTAATCTTGTAACTGTTAAATCTAGAAAACTGTATAAAAAGCATAAGCTATTTCCCAATATAGCCAGTGGTATAGGTTTTAAAATGTATAAACTTACTAAAAACTATGATTGAAACAAGTAATGTTATTCTTCTAATTGTACATGTGCTAAGTAAGCATTAAATTATTTGTCTTTAACTGTTTCATACAACTATTATTGTTTCTTCTAGAAAGTTGACTATATCACATATCTGAGCATATTTGATCATTTGTTTGATATTCCACGCGAAAGGAAGAACAGTGACTATCGCAATTACATTCGTGCTTTGTTAACCTATCTCAAGGATTTTGTGAGTAGAATCAAGCCTTTGTTAGACCAAGCCCAAGAAATGGCCACAGCTCATCAAGATTTTATCAAACAATGGGAATCGGGTACTTTTCCCGGTTGGCCGGTATGTATTAAATTTTTTAAAGATGATTTGAGTAATATATCTTAAGTAACTTGAGTTGTTATTTGAATAAGTCGACCAAACTATTACTGAAACTTGAGTTGATTTGGTTTACTGGTAGGCTTGATGTTCTATAGCCTAAGCTTCCATCAATTCGAAGGACGACTAGTTGAAGAATTCAAGAAATTAAGACTCTGTATGGGAGTCAAAGTAACGTACGATATCGATCACACCGAATTTTCATTTTTTAACTCTTATATATGTTTACATTTTTTAATGCACTAGAACTGCGTAAAGTATCAGACAGACAGATAGACAGCGGAGTCTTAGTATTAGGGTCCCGTTTTACCCTTTGGTTATGGAACTCTAAAAACGCCCGATTCAGTGATCCACCATAATTAGCCACCCAGTTGAATCAGCTCGATTTACAAGTTGAATAATTGGTATTTATTAGTTAAAAGTCATGTTAACATTTAGTTACAGCTTAGTTTTAAAATATAAAGCTAAAAACATTTATGGTATAGGTAATAATGACAGCAGGATTTCGGTAGTTTCTTATTTAATTTATTTTTTCTTACAGAAAGAAACTGGCGGTGCATTAACAAATGTTGGTGCACATTTAGATTTATCGGCTTTCTCATCATGGGAAGAATTGGCATCTTTGGGTTTGGACAGATTGAAGTCTGCTCTCATGGCCCTTGGTCTAAAGTGTGGTGGAACTTTAGAAGAAAGGGCACAAAGGTCTAATTTTTCACCTTTTAAATTATGCATAGTAGTTTAAATAGATGACTGCGGCGTAGTTGCCAAGATATTGGCTGCGGCGCCGGTGGTTGTGTGATCGATTTTCAAACTGGACAACTATTTGTGTGACCCACAGATAGTTGTCTCGGGTCTAGATCCGAAAAACCTAGGTGTTTGTAGCTTCTTAAATGGCTAAATATTTTTGTGTATCATATTTTGTAATGCGATTTTTGTATGCGATGAGGTTTTTGAATAAAACAAAAAATAAATTAAAGATTGAAAAATAAATAATTTTAATATTTCAGATTATTTAGTACAAAAGGTCAAACAGCTTTAGACAAGTCACTGGTGGCAAAGAAGGGTGCCACTAAGGCCAAGGCTTCTACTCAACAACGTCACAAAGATGTTGCAGCAATTGAAGCTCAAGTTTACAGGTACAATCGAAAATATAAGTATTTATAAATACATCATAATTCACTAAGCCAAAGTTGACATCTGCCTAGCCATATTATAGAAATTTGTAATGGCTAGTTTTATTATAACGGAATATTAAGTGCCTTTTATTATTATGCTTTGTTCAGACTTCTTAATGCAGAATATTTACTAACAACAATGATGCTTTAATAAAGATGGCATATATCCATACTAGTGATGTAACGAATATTCGCATTCGCATTCACATTCGCGAATATTCGCATATTCGCATTCGCGGATTATTGCGAATGTTTTTGCGTGTATAATTTTTTTTAAGTAGGTTGATAGTGGGTAATATAAGAAAATCCAATTCCATTAATTTCTAATTTCTTTTAATGCAATAAAAAGTAATTTAACCTCGTAATCACATTATCAGTCTTTTCTTTATCATTTGGTATCGGGAGCGGAATGACACTCAATCGATAGCGTTTGTATTAACTCGGATATTCTCGGAACGAAAAACAGACGGAACGTACTTCATTCGAACGGGACTGCCGTTAAAGTCACCAAGCCATAGACAAATGGCGCCAAAATTAAACAAAAATTTAATATTTGCATTCGTATTCGCGAATGTTGGCAGCATATATGTGCATTCGCATTCGCGAATGTCCAAAATATGACATTCGTTACATCACTAATCCATACTGCGCGGCGTTTAAAAGTAGTGCTATATATATTCGGCGCGCTAGTTCTATATCTACTGATGTTTTGCCTTTGATGTTTGGTTTTAGATTTGCAAATGTAGTCAGCGGTACTCGTACTGCTACAATAGAGAACGTTACGCGACGTGCTGCTCGTGCTGCTGGTGAAAGGAGGGACGAGAGTGATGACGAAAGCGATGCGTCAGCTGCCCCCGATGTTGACTCGGATGATGATGAAGTGCCATACAATCCCAAGAATTTGCCACTCGGCTGGGATGGAAAGGTTAATGATTTTTCTTCAAAAATGGAATCTTAAAATCTATAATAACATAATAATTTGTCATATTGGTAGGTTGACCTATTTATTGTTTTGAATAGTTCTAATTGTTTTATATTTATCTTGCAGCCTATTCCATATTGGCTCTACAAGCTTCATGGATTGAATATAAGTTACACTTGTGAAATATGTGGTAATTACACATACAAGGGGCCGAAAGCATTTCAAAGACACTTTGCTGAATGGCGCCACGCTCATGGAATGCGGTGTCTTGGTATACCAAACACAGCTCATTTTGCTAATGTCACTCAAATTGAAGATGCACTTGCATGTAAGTATATCTGTTACAGCTAATCACGTTATATATTTTTAGCATTTTTAACCCCCCTCCTCCCCGTTGGTGATACGTGGTGAGGTTTAAGATTACCGCCACCCCACATCACTTATATTTTTTAGTACCTACAAAGAATCTTAAAAAGACGTGATATCTAGTAAGACACACCCCACCATACACTAAACTATTTAGTGATTTTTGCCAAACCCCCTCCACCCCTTTCGAGCCTCACGCGATTAATGGACGGCCCCTTAAGATTAGCGGGCGAAACTGGGTTTATCTTCGAGGACTGGCTCACGCCACAACTCTCGCTATGTCGCCCGTGAGTGTCACTACAACAACTCTAACAACATTCTTATATTCACTCTACGGGCCACACCACAAGACCACATAGAATGGGTTTGAAACAAACTTGTGTGCGTATTAGTTATGAATGATCGCGCGTAAAATAAATGAGTTGCCCATAAATCAGGCACTTTTTGAGATAACTTCAAATGAATATATTTAATTAATAACAAGTGATTTTAAATGTTTATCATTTTCATATTTATGTTTTTTTTATATTTATGTGAAATCTAGCCAGTAGTTTTATCGTGATGCGCGCACAAAGGCCGTCCTCGATAATTTTATTTATATAGATGTGTTTATCTTTACAGTATGGGAGAAAATAAAAAATCAAAAGGAGAATGAAAGGTTTGTTGCTGAAAATGATGAAGAATACGAGGATTCTCAAGGAAATGTTGTCAATAGAAAAACTTACGAAGATTTGAAGAGACAAGGACTTCTATGAGTTGTGTAATTAAAAATGTTTTTATGTAAAGTTTTCTTTAACTACAACCTATATCATTACCCCAAAAATGGTTTTTTGTCTTAACAGAAGACCAGCGTGAAGAGAAAATATTATAATTTTTTAATTTTGTCTGGTGATGGCTGGCTAGGTGGCTACTTCCCGGGTTTTGGATGTTAATGAGCAGTTGTAATTACTTAACATCAGGTGAACTGCTTCCTCGCTTAGCAACTTTGTATAATTTTTTTTGGTTAAATAATAAGTTCATAAAGAAAAAAAAATAATAGGGTTCAAGCAAAAAAAATTTAAAACTAGTAGGTACATAGCCAATATTATTAACATTTTAATATATAAATAGATTTATTTATCCAATGATATTCTATAGTTAATTGAATATTTTGTATCTGATCCAAAATTCTATAAATATCGGCCAAAAATATCGATATATAAAATCACTAGAATGGCTGACTAAAACTAGATGGCGTTGTTAAATTCATAAAATGCGCTGTATAATTACAAGACAAGCGCCGAACATTTGCATTTTAATAATAATAATTCGGATTTCTTCGATTGAGATTTATACGATGGGTACGATTTTAGTTTTGATCGGTATACGGATAATCTTGATTTTGGTTTGCGATTTGGTTGGTTGTTAGGAACCGTGGATTTCTCAATAGGCCGCGTACTCGGCGGGCCAAATGTAGAAGGCTGCAAATTAGTGGGGTTTTTTAGTAGCGTTGCTTGCTTTTCGCCTCTCGCTTCTTTGCGTAGGCGATATTTCATGAAAATTATAACAAATCGAGCGGGCCTGATAAGTAGGTACCATTCGTCGGCTCCATAATATCATGTACTAACTTTCTTTGTTTAATTTTTTGTGCCTTCTAGCAAGTCTTTTCTCTTAATCTTTAAAGAGCCTAGGGCGACCAACGGACAAATCTGTCGCTGTTTAGGAATATAGATTTGGTTAGGCTAGGATATTCGGATATTATTTTGCTATGTGGTTTGGAAATTGTGTTTTTCACTGAAGCGTTCTTATCTCTGGTCTCAAAAACATAAGTTGCGGTTGAGTTAACAAGCGGACTCCGTATATATGCCTAAGAATTTTCCGATGTTCTGTTGAAATTTGAGAAGGCAGAATGGATATCCTTTCAGAGAAAAATTGGCAGGTGGGTCTTCCGAACATACTTGGTACAGTCGTTTTCTCCGAAAACAAACTGATAAGTTCAGTATTTAGAGAACTTTCAGATATTAGTTAATTAAATAAATAAATATATATACAGCGTGTCGTTACCATCGCGTCAATAAATGAACACATGTCTAACGCAACTTACCAATAATCGAAAAAAAATATTAACAAAATCCATAATGAAAAAAAAAATATTTTTCAAACAAACTAATTAAGTAAAAAAGAAACAAAATTTGTAACATCCTATAAAACTCGCGCTGCAGCGTCGCATTACAAGCCTCTCCTTCTAACAGTATGTTTTGTCTCTTTTAAATTCATTCAACCCATTCATATGCTTTGTGACCTTTACAAATGAACTTTACGTTTACAGTTTTATACGTAAGGGTGTTCTAAAATTCTTCGTTTTGGAAAATTTAATAACTCGGTAAATATTGATGTTTAAAGAATGTAAATGTTTAATACAATTTTTAAAAGTTATCCTCTATATGTGTGTTCATTTATTGTCGCGATGGTAACGACACGCTGTATATGTATATATATATATATATATATATATATATATATATATATATATATATATATATATATATATATATTAAGTGTAAGATGTTACAAACTTTGTATCTTTTTTAGTTAATTAATTTGTTTAAAAATATATTTTTTTTAATTTTGAATTTTTTAACGTTAATATTTTTTATAATTATTGGCAAGTAGCGTTAGACGCGTGTTCATTTATTGTCGCGATGGTAACGACACGCTGTATATATAAAGATGTTCAAATTGTTTAGAACATGTGTCCGCTGTTGCGTACTTTCCCGCCAAACACTTGAATCCATTTCAAGTGTTTTTAAATCGGTTTAAGATAATCTCTGTTAATTTTATTAAAGTTTCAATGTAATCAACGCCAATGCAATGGGTGGAATACGTACATACGTATATCCATGTAAATTATCAAACGCTTATACATATATTATGTTAGTGTGTTCTCCGTCGAATACAAGGGGTCAGATTCGCAGCCTGCGTAATCTTATTTAATAACGAGTTGGCTTACAGCTGGCAGTTGTACTATTGCGTAATTAATTATGTAACTTTTGCTTTCGCAAAAAATTTGATATAATAAATTAATTATTTGCGTAAGCGATCGATTAGATATACCTACAGCGTGTCGTTACCATCGCGACATTAAATGAACACACGTCTAACGCTACGTGCCAATATTCATAAAAAAATATGAACGTTAAACAAAATCCATACTTAAATAAAAATATTTTTCAAACAAACTAATTAAGTAAAAAAGAAACAAAATTTGTAACATCAACACACAACTCGCGCCACAGCGTCGTATTACAAGCCTCTCCTTCTAACCGTATGTTTTGTCTCTTTTAAATTCATTCAACCCATTCATATGCTTTGTGACCTTTACAAATGAACTTTACGTTACGCTTTTATAGGTAGGGGTGTTCTAAAATTCTTTGTTTTGGAAAATTTAATAACTCTGTAAATATTGATGTTTAAAGAATTTTAATGTTTAATACAACTTTAAAAACTTATCCCCTATATGTGTGTTCATTTATTGTCGCGATGGTAACGACACGCTGTATACATTAAAACGGTAAATTCGAACTTATCGCCTCTAGACAAATCGGACGTCGATTATTTTTCTCGTTATTCGTCCATAACTTTCATCAATGTTTTATATAAATCTTCATTTGAGAGTTAATGTTGTCTATAATGTGCATTTGATCGTAACATAATCAAAAAGTTAGAATATCATACCTTATATTGCAATGACTGTTAATTCCGTAAAGCGTGACAGTGAACGGGAGAGATAATTTATTGTCAATTCCTTTTTATTATATATACTTTTTGAAACACCATAAAACATAAAAGGAAATGTTACAGAACTATAAACTTAAGAGGTATAAACAATAAGGCAGTCTTATCGCTAAGGAGCGATCTCTTCCAGACAACCTTGTGGCTAAAAATATTTTAATTTGGACAACGTTAGGTGGTGTAAATGATAAACTTACATACTAACATTTAAATAAACTAAACGAATATTTTGTATTTTTGTATAATAATATTATACTAATATATACCAAATAAGATACAATAGACATACATAAATCTAAACATATACTATACAATAAATTACAAAAATATATACAGGAAGAAAAAAAATGGGTAACCACTTGAGCTTTGTACGATATTCGCAGACATGGTCATAATTGCGTAGACCGAAAATAAATCTGATAGCTAAGTTTTGAATTCGCTCAAGCTTGTTAAGTTGGTCCTCAGTTAAATCAAGATAGCTTGAGTCATCATAATCGAGAATGGAAAGAAGTAAGGATTATGCTAACATAATCTTAGTAGGAATGGGGAGAAAAGAACGTAAGCGCCGCAGAGAACCCATGGCTGCAAATGTTTTCCTGCTAACTTCCTTTAACTGGAGAGACCACGAGAAAGTAGAGTCGAAGTGAACACCAAGGTTTTTAACAGTTTTGCTGTATGGCAACACAACACCATTTAATGTTATCGAGGGAAGGTTATCCCAATCTATCCTTGAAATCATGCCAGCTCCACCAACAATGATGGCCTGGGACTTGCAAGGATTAATCTTAAGACCATAGCTCTTACTCCACTCGCTAATAGCCGCCAGGTCACCATTAATGCCAGTAACAGCAGTGGGCAAGTTTTCAAGATTTGAATGTGTGTACATTTGTAAATTGTCTCCATACATATGGTAGAGAGAAGTAATATTGTGAGAGATTGAATTAATAAAGATAGCAAAGAGTAATGGAAACAACACACCACCTTGAGGCACTCCAGCTCGTAATTCACGCCAGGATGAAAACATACCATCAATGCGAATACGCTGCTGTCGGCCACTAAGATAGCTTTGAAACCAGCCGGCCACTGGTGGAGATATGTTAGCAGAACGTAATAGACTCAACAGAATGTCATGATCAACAGAATTAAATGCATTACTGAAATCCAATAGTACCAATACTGTGAGCTGTTTATTGTCCATACTTCGTCGAATATTGTCAGTAATTTTAACCAGCGCTGTAGTTGCACTATGTCCTGACCGGAAACCGGATTGAAATGGATTTAGAAGGCAGTTTCTATTCAGATGGAGATTTAATTGGTGGAAAATGAGTTTCTCTAGAACTTTAGATAGAAAAGGGAGAATGGAGATAGGGCGGAAATCGGTAAAGTGCACGCCATGAGCCTTTTTAGGAAGAGGAGTTACTAATGCACTTTTCCATGCTTCAGGAAATTTAACTGTGGATTCAGGATATGGGTGATAACAGGAGTAACTAGGTCAAGGATAGGTAGGATCATGTTACGACTAACGCTGTCATTCCCCACGGCATTCGACGAGACCGACAATATGTTCCTTCTAACATCACACTCAGTGAAACGAGTGAAATTAAACGGTGGGAAATCAGGAGTTGGCATTTTAGAAAGAATACTCAACGTGATATCTTTATCTGATCTATCAATTGTACTGGAAGAGGTAAAATGTTGGTTAAGGAGTTCAATATCAATATCATTATGAAGACAGCTAGAGTGTAATTTACCAACTGCCAGAGATTTAAGAAATTTCCAATCTTTGGCAGTGTCGACGTTTTTGACAGATTTGTGAATGTGGCGTCGTTGTGCATCTCTACATAATGTATTGCAGCGATTCTGTACTTTATTATAGTTTCGTAGATTTTTATCCGGTTTATCCGCCTTAAGCTTACTTTTTGCGTAACCTTTTTTCCTTAAAAAACTTTAAGATCATCGGTTAACCAAGGCGCATGTAGGTGTTTCATTTTTACAGGCTTAACCGGAGCATGAATATCGTAAAGTTGTACAAGAAAGGAGTTAAGTAATTCTACTTTCATGTCCACCGTGGAAGCTTTTTGCTAGTTTTTGACAAATGTAATTCGGTGTTCGTTATGGAAAATTATATAGGTTTCATATTGATTGCAGTCCAAGCCAAGCTTTTCAAAGTCTGAGGAGCCCTTGAATCGCAATTGCTTTATTTAAATCACTAGTCTGCAGGTGGTGAGTTGCTGCGTAGTGGACGACGCGGCGTCGTGGCGTTGTGCGACAGCCGGGTTGTTTCTCCTTCTTGTAACGAAGCCGTCAAAATTGCTGCCCAACGTGCCAAATAGCATACTAAACGTACAAAAAAAATCATTCATTAAAACTGACTATAATCACTTCATAGTATAAAACAAAGTCGTCCTGCTGTCTGTCTGTTCCTATGTATGCTTAGATCTTTAAAACTGCGCAACGGATCATGATGCGGTTGCTTTAACTAGATAAAGTGATCACGAGGAAGGTTTAAATGCATAATACACTGCAGCCATGCGAAGCCGAGGCGGATCACTAGTCTATACTATAGTAAAAATGTAACTGATCGTTGTGCTGTACATGAAAGATATTTGAGAAAAAATATTATTGGGGGGTCTTTATCAACGCAATAGAACCCAAAACAATAATTTTTTTTTTTAATTTTGTATGAGTGTTTGTGTGTTTGTGCGTTTGTGAGCGCGATTCTCAGAGACGGCTTAACCGATTTAGGTGCAACTTTCATTAAACCAGTATAGTAACCTTCACTTTAGTGTTACTTTTATTTAAATCGGTTCGTGAACAAAAAAGTTATATCAACTTAAGGAACCACATTGAAAATGTATGCATTAAATATAATAGCTACTGTTGAATTGGATAAAACTTTAGTTAAATAGATAATGTTAAGGTCTAAGTTAAAAAACTGACCACGAACCGAACTTTGAAGTATGTCAAAAGAACAATCAACAACTGACTGAAAAGTCATTGAGTAATGAGTACACACGTAACACTATTACATATACACAACTAGGGATGAGTTATACTTGGAAAATCGCGTACCAGGTCTTAAAAGTACGTCCACCTTCTCATACCAGGTACAGAAACCAGGTATCAAAATACTTTCAAAATATTTTCTGTTCAAACGCAACGAGTCGAATACTTGTTTCCTTGCAATTTTAAACCTTGTTACTATACAAATAAGATTCAAAATATTCCAATCAAGACGTAAAATACTTAGAAAGTATTTTACTTCACGTATAAGGACAATCTGAACCTTATACATATGATTATAAGTTATCTAATCAAGTGAGAGAGACACACCACGCGAGACCGATATACATTGCTTCATCTTCACACGGCGCGCGCCCTGGGATGCCAAATTAGGAATTTTCTTCCTAAATTTAGGCATAAAAAATGTGGAATGCGAAGCTTTTTGGAAGGTAAATTTTTACGGGAATATTTTTTTAAGAGTTAAATTTTTTTCACATTTTTGATTTTATTCTTAACATTCATTTCAAATGAATTATATTATATTTAATGTTCTTGACCATTTTGATTGAAATCATTTATTTTATCAGATAATCATTTTGCCTTTACCTATAATATAAAAAAAATCGTGTATTTAATTAAATTTAGAAATTGTTGTTCGAATTTAATAAATTTTAGTGGGTTTTCGAATTGCTTTAGGATTATTATTTTTTAAGTTTTTAACAGTTGATAACACTTCATTCGATTCGTTCGACGTTCGTGTTTGATCGGCGTTCGAGTTCGATCGTCGTTCGAGTTCGATCGTCGTTCGAGTTCGATCGTCGTTCGAGTTCGATCGTCGTTCGAGTTCGATCGTCGTTCGAGTTCGATCGACGTAGTAAATACTTACTTTGAAGGGCTCGTAAACTTTAATGGAAAATACTTTCAAGTCTTGCAAGTTCGGGTCAGTACCTGGTTGGAATACTTGCAAGGAAATACCTGGTACCAATACCTGGTAACGTAAATACTTGTGGCGACTCATTTGCTACTGTGTAGCACCGCTCTTATCTTTTACACCCTTACTCTCATCGGTCTAGCATTACCCTATTATTGACAAATTTCTATAGCAACGAGTGACAATAAAAGATTATGTTTTTCTCAACACGGCTTGTTCTTTGTACTGCATCTTAATTATTCCCTCCTGCCGGCTCCCAAATACTCACCATCTCTACAACACTATTCTAGTTATGACAAGTGACAAGTGTACAGTAAATAATAACACGTGCTATACAAAATAAATTTTATACATATTACATATTTATGTCGTGCACATCTGTCTGTGTTGAGTATTTTTTAAATATTTATTAAAGTTGCAATGTCGGAGAAAACCAGCAGTAAAATATTTACCGGTTCGAGGGTATTAGGTTATGTCAGTACGCATGTACCATTTGTAGCTAGATTTATCAAAAGACGTGGTGAAACTTTGCTATGTACAAGCGTAGGAAAGTGGTTTCATACCTATGGGTGTGATAAATTTCGTTTACTTAGCGTAAGCGGTGAACATCCCGGGTCCATTACATGTATGAGTGGTGATAATTTTCATGTATATACTGCCAGTGAGAATAATATTTATGCTTGGAGGCGAGGGTGCGAACTAAAGCACGTATACAAAGGTCACCAAGCACCAATTCATAAACTTCTACCTTTTGGAACACACTTAATATCTATTGATGAGGATAACATTCTTAAAATATTTGATATAAAGGAAGAATCGGAATTTTTAGAGCTTGGTTTCGACCCCGATACTTTTAAAATAACTACGATATGTCATCCACCCACTTATTTAAACAAGATTTTACTTGGAAGCAGCCAAGGACAATTACAAATTTGGAATTTGCGTACATCAAAATTGGTTTTCACTTTTCAAGGCTGGGATTCTGCAGTTACAGTTATAGAGCCTGCACCTGCAGTTGATGTAGTTGCAATTGCACTTGCTAATGGAAGAATTATATTGCGTAACTTGAGGTATAATCAGACTGTTATGGAGTTTGTTCATGATTGGGGAATGGTCAGTTGCCTCTCTTTTCGTTTGGATGGGATGCCTGTCATGGTGACAGGAAGTACAAAGGGACACATAGTAATGTGGAATTTGGAAGAGAAAAGAGTAATGTCTCAGATCCAGTCTGCACATTCATCTAGTATTGCTGGAATGCAATGTCTAATGTCAGAACCATTGATGGTCACTAACTCTCAAGATAACTCCTTAAAAATGTGGATATTTGATATGTCTGATGGTAGTGCAAGACTTTTAAAAAAAAGGTAAGTAGCTGTTAATGGATTTTTGCCAATAGGTATGAAAAAGTGATAACTTATTTTTCTGCAATCATCTGATACTGTTTATGTTAGAATAAATTGTTATATAACACACTTGTATAAAAGATCAAAATTATTCATTTTTATTATATTTAAAATTATATTCAAATAAAGTAATTTCATTTTATAAATATCAAATTATATAGTTTTTTTAGCTGTTGCTATTATGCATCACAAATGATTAAAGTGTATATACAGCGTGTCTTTACAATCGCGACAATTAAATGATCACACATATAGAGGATAACTTTTTAAAATTGTATTAAACATTTACATTCTTTAAACATCAATATTTACCGAGTTATTAAATTTTCCAAAACAAAGAATTTACGAACACCCTTACGTATAAACTGTATCGTAAAGTTCATTTGTAAAGGTCACAAAGCATATGAATGGGTTGAATGAATTTAAACCAGACAAAACATACTGTTAGAATGCGAGGCTTCCTGTATATACAGGGTGTCGTTACCATCGCGACAATAAATGAACACACGTCTAATGCTAATTGCCAATAATTATAAAAAATATTAACGTTAAAAAAATCCGTAATAAAAAACTTTTTTTTTCAAATAAACTAATTAAGTAAAAAAGAAACAAAATTTGTAACATCGGATACAACTTCAACTGACTGATTCATACATTCAGAGACTTTTTCATTCGTTGCCACACGGTCGCTTTACAAGCCTCTCCTTCTAATAATATGTTTTGTCTCTTAAATTTTTTCTATTCAGCCATTCATTTTTATTTTCATTTCTAGCCATTCTATTCCCTAAAAAACAGAATGTGTTGACAATGCAGTAGTCATTCATAAATACGTAAATTTTACTATGCACGAACTTGTGTGCGTGTTAGTTATGAATGATCGCGCGTAAAATAATTGCGTATAAATCACGTACTTTTTGAGATAAGTTCAAATGAATGTAATCAATTACTTACAAGTGATTTTAAATATTTATCATTTTTTATATAACATTATTTATGTCTACAATTTAATAAAAAAAACGGATACACTTAGAAAAGCCACTCCGTATATATATATATATATATATATATGTGATTATACAAATATTTAAATTTATTAGTAGATTAAACAAAATATTAGATATAAACAATCAGATTTGGTTTTTGTGTATTCATAACATCAGTTTATTAAATATTTTCAGGGAAGGCCATTCACTTCCTCCAAACTTAGTGAGACACTGCGAACCTACAGGCGAAAATCTTTTAGCAGCTGGAAGGGATAGCAGCCTCCATGTAATGAATACTGTCACTGAAACTTTCAATAAAAGTATGGGAAGGGCATCTTACAACAGGAAGGTTTCCAAAAAGAAAAGTAAATGTTAATTTTTTATCATTCATGCCCTTTTTCAAATCAATGCAATATTCACTAATTATTATTTACACAGGTCTTTTAACAATTCAACTTTATCATGGATGTATTTAAAAAGTAAAAACTAGTTTGCAACTAAAACTAAAATATCTAGAAAGGTTTTTTCAGTTAACCGAAATCTATTGTATTTTTTACACATTTTTTGCTTATAAACATAGACAGTTTAATTAGAAACACAAATTAAAGCATGTAATAAATATAATCATTTGCTTTTTATGTTCAGAACATATACACATATATATTGATATAACATACATGTATAAAAAAATGAGCCGTCACGGGACACCTGACAGATGTGAAACATCGACATTATTTTGTAAAAGTAATATGCAGAATAGAACAGATTGTGATAGGAACTAAATATCTCATAATGATAAAATAAAATATTACGATTTTTTTTCCAGATAACGATGACTATTTTAATGAATAAACATTTATTTTCATGAAATACAAAAATTTACGAATTTATTTCAAATCGTGACTGCTTAATTCGTTTAATCAGTGACTTCGGTAATAGTACACACAAGTAATTAAATTTAATTTAATTAATTAATAATTATTAACAATTAATTTAAATTTGAGTAATTAATTGTACACACTACTGCACATCTGTACATCATATAGCGTGGCGACGCGTCGCCATGGCATGCGTCGCCACGCCAGAAATTTTACGTGCGAACGCACGGTTTTACGTGCGGCTATAGATGTTTCATATCAAAAATAAAAAAAAAGTAAAGTATCAGCCTGTTCCATATCTGGGCATAGGCCTCCTCTGTAGAGAGGATATTAGGGCATAGTTCAGCTCGCGATCCCACTGCAGATTTGCAGACTTTGTATATCTTCAGTGTTTCTTTACAAAGAACAACATTCATTTTAGTTTATAAAGACTCCATTGACAATTTAAATTACGTTCACAATATTGTTGAGATTTTATTTTTATTTTTAGATCTTTAAATTAGCACTTTGGTTTTATTTAGTTCTCAAATAATGATATAACCAAACTAGCTAATAATAATAAATAATATTTACACAACATTCTCTAGTCCCAACCTAAGAAACGCTTGTACTATGATTACTGGATCACTGATAAACATGCTTTTCTTTTGTAAATAAATACATATTATACTTATATAAACACCCAGACACTAGACAAAGACTATGTTCATCACACAATATTTTTCTAGTAGCGGAAATTGAACCCACACTCTTTGTCGCAAGAGGTAGGTACACTACCGACTACGCCATTCAGGTATATAATCTTATTATCTATCATCAACTCTCGGCTCAACAAACAGATTACAATATTTCACAAATACAGAGTTTAGATGCAGGCCAAACTGAAACCAAGGCCAAAACTGGCCAAAACAGAAACTGAAACTGGGCCTTAAGTTGGTCACTATTATGAACATTCACCATAACTATATTTTTAAGTGTGTATTAAATAAATAAAATAATATTTTTACATATAATATTTTTTTACTCATTTACATCTTAAACACTTGCTTCTTTACAGAGAGACTTCAGACTGATTACCTTATTTTGCCATCTATTATCAAGTTAAGTTCCTGCATGCAGCGAGATAAACAGTGGGATAGCATAGCATCCCTTCACGACGGCATGTACATGGCCACTACCTGGTCTTATAATAAGATATGTATGGGCCAACATAAATTAAAACCTCCTGAAATGGAAAAAGGTGTCCAGGCTACTTGCTTGACAGTCACACACTGTGGTAATTTTGTTGTAATAGGTAAGGAATTTATTGTCTATTTATTAAAATATTAAAAAAATAAAATATAAACAATTATCATCACATATCTGTAATATAATACATTATAAACAAAACCAATAAAACTGTATAGCTTTAGTGCATTTAAACTTATTATGTGTTCACAATTAAATGATGAGAGCAAAAGATTTGGTAACCTATTTCATAATAGTTGATTTACTAATATAATATTACTATAATACAATAATATGCTGGGTATACATTTCTAGGATATAGTAATGGACAAGTACACAAGTTCAATATGCAGTCTGGTTTGCATAGAGGTTTCTATGGCAAGGAAAGGAAGCTTGCACATAAAGGAGCAATTAGAGGTGTAGAAACAGATCTTTGCAATCAAAGAGTAATTACTGTAGGGGCAGATGACAAATTAAAGTTTTGGTATTTTAAAACAGGTGAATAATATTTTCATTTTAATTAATATTCTTTTTAAGTGCTATAATTGTCAACTTTAAAAAGTAAATTAAAAAGAAACAAACAAAGCATTTTATTAGTATTCAAATAAATATTTGTTATTAAGAGTACTTAGGTACAAGTATATTATATTGGAACTGATAATAAAAAGTCATAGCCTAAACTTTTTATATGAACTTAAAAAAACTCATTCATATATTACAATTGTTTTATTTTAGCTACCAACCCATTCCATGTTTTAAAATTAGAAGAATCTGTTAGTAGTACTAAATGTCATAGGGACAGTGGACTGTTGGCGTTGGCAAATGAAGATTTTTCTATAACCTTGGTTGACATAGATACAATGAAAATTGTTAGAAAGTTTGAGGGCCATGTTGGAAAAATAAATGATATCGATTTTGACTGTCAAAGCAGGTAAGTGGACAATATAGCTTTCTTTTTACATGAATAGGATCATCTGGGGGAGTATTATTCATGGAAAACTGGCAAAAA